TGTTGAGACACGCTAAACTTGTAGGGTTGTAACATTGATATGATGGCAGAGCATTCTGCCCGCCCCAAATATTATATTTCACACCACACAACTTGTCACCAAGGCTGCATAAAGTTCCATTCAAACATTGTTGTAACGATGAATTGTAGCATACACCGGAGCAGTTGTTAATACACTGAATAGTATCATTGGTACATATTTGAACTTCGGAATCATAACATATACTATTGCATGACTGAATTTGATTTGCTCGGTAATTATAATACGAACGTGTAGTGTTACATATTGTCATATTATTAACACATATTTGGTTGTTTCGGAGACATTGTTGATTGCATGATTGAGAGAAGCGCTCGCAAAGTGTGTTGTTCGAACACGCCAAATTTGTAGGATTGTAACACTGATATAATGGTGGATTATATGTAACTGAAGATCCACTGTAGTATTTAATGATGCACAACTGCTCACTACGTTCACATACTGTACCATTGAAACATTGGTGTATATTTGGATTGTAACATTGATTTCCGCAAATACCAATACATTGAACATTTTTGTCGAGCTCAGTACAGTTTTGTATAGCTGGATCGTAACAAATGCTCTCACCACATAACGATTGTGAACTGGGACATGATTTGATTGATGTTAATGCAGTTAAATTACTTTGAGCATTCGATATAGCAAAAAAAGCAATAAAAATCCATAAGTGTATACAACCCTTCCGACAACTTAATACAACCATTATATTTCAGTTGTAATTAAATACTTTGCACTAGCTGTTTTTGTTGTTGTGATCGGTGTTGTTTGCTCGTATTTCTATTGTATTGTTGAAATTTTTATTATTACTCAGTTGCAGTTTGTATGTACCTTCTGAAAAAAAAGAGTTTTAATTATAATAAGTGAGTTTTTAACCGATAGTAATAAACGTGAAATATTTATCTCTCTTTGATTTTGCTCTTAAATGACGAGTTAAACTTCTACGTAGTATCTAGTGATTGAATAAGCATAAGTCCTGCGTCGAAACGCGACATTAACGCTTCTTACCATCTGCTTTTCAGAACACAAAATCCTAACTTTTACCTTAATCTATTATTCTACTCATGTGCTTTCACCAGGTAAACAAAAAAGTTATCATTTGGTATTCTAAATATATCGTGACTATGAAAACATATTAATAAAATAATAATACCATTTTCTTAAACACTCATATTTTTTCTATGATATCTGTATATTTACGCATTGTACTTTGTGCTTACCGATCAGATATTACAACTATAGTCATAATTAGTTTTTTTTAAATTTTTCATTACTCTAATAATACCTTTTGATAGTGGCCAAAATTCTCTCTTATTTATATCAAAATAGAAAATAATTAGTGTTGAACAGCACTATTTGATCAATCCTCAGTAATTCTTTCTAAACGAAACTCACTTTCTATACATTTCATACAAATTTTCGTTATAAAAAAATTTCTATGTAACACTAAATAACACATACCTCACCTGTACGTTTGTTGATGTGAAATATTATTTGATCAGTCTATAGCTATTTTAATACAATGCACACGTTTCACTTAGTTTGATATTGCGCAGAATCTGTCTTTTTTTTTCTTTCGTTCTTCTTCCTACTAACTCATTTCGAAAGTCACATTCTGGATAAAAACATCGTTTGATAGGTAAAATAAATCAAAACAAATATAATATTCATTAGAATATGTCTACTTCCGAGTATGAGGACAAAAAAGAAAAAACTAAAATCATAACGAAAGATTAGAAGGTGTATACACAACATCGATGTCTAGTGGAAATAATTACTTGATTCAATTTATGATATAAACGAAAAATAATATTTGTCCTACCATGTGGTTCATTTCGTTATCTAACTTATAAGCAAAGTCCCGAGCCATGTAAATACCCATACGATTTCAACATCGTAGAAAACGATAGATCTGTCGTTTCATGAAAAATGAACAAGAAGCCAATTTTAACCTTCCACAATAAAAACCAATTTTCTCATAGACAGATCTTTCTTGAGTGATAGTTTATTCTTTCTATAATATCTCTATGCTACCATAATATGATTATATTCATATACAAATGAACCAAGTTTCGTTTTGAGTTGATCGAATCATTATTAATGATAGTACCGGGGAAGAAAGAGTTCTTCAAATTGTATATATTTGTTAAATTGAAGAAAAAACTATTTCAACTAATTTGGAACTATCGATTTTGTCCATTTTAATGCTAACAACGTATAAATGAGGTTAAGAAAAACTCAGTCGCATTCGTGCTTACATCTCTCCAATCCCGAGATATGCTCTAAGCAATGTCGTTTATTATAACTTAAAATATGTGAGACAAGTTGTTCGACTAATCTATCATCGTACTGAATTATGACATAGCTATTTGTTTAAAGTATCATAAACATAAAATAAAGAAATTTACTTTTTCAGATAATATTTATGTCGTAATGTCACTAATAATTATTTAATACCTAAAGAGATGTCGAAAAGTTGGAATCAATTGAGATAATTCCTTTGTTTAACAAAAGCAGTAAATTAATAAGTTCAAAATATTTTTTTTAATGCACGTACGCACGGTACCCCTACATTTCGGCCTTTTTTTTTGTCCGCGACTATTCGTCCTTTTTTAATTCGCCCTAAATGGTTTTTGTCCGACTTCATTTTGTCTCTTTACAATTCGTCCCAATTATCTCGTGTCCCATTACATTTCGTCCTCTTACATCTCATTCCAAAAGTTAAGTATTCATTTTTTACCACGATAATATAAATTACAATTCAGGGTGAGTGTGAGTGTGGGGTGGACGTGAATAAAGAAGATACAGATCCCCACACCCACACCCTCAAGAGGTCGATTAGTTATATGATCTCTTGTTTGTGATCTTCGAATCATTTGAACAATGTCTATATTCTAATTATAATCCGTCCGATGAGACCCTTAATCAAAGTCAAAATCGCAATCACGAAGTGTTTCATACCCACACCCTGCCACTTGTTCTTCACAGACTGAAAAGCTTGCCAGAAAGTATATTTAAAAATCTTGCAGATTCAATCTAAGTATCTTTTACGCATCGATAAAACATCATTCCTTGTTTTCAAATAATATTAAAAAAACGTTCTGGATTATAATGTAAAAACAGCACCCAAGTCCTTTCCTCTTCACGTGGCTAGAGGATCGGCTATACACCGATAATAAGTCGATCCATTCGAGTTAATTGCAATTGGATCTATATAAGCATAGATATGATCGTGGGCAGTGAAGTCATGTTTCGATGTATAGTTGGACTTAAGAAATGCCGTCTCATCGCCACTGATAGGCACATCAACGTACGACGAGTAGCGGAGAAGAATGTATCGTATTCCGGCCGTTAATTCTTGCACAGTCACTCGGCCAATCATATCACGAGCTGCCATACGATTGGCTACACATGGCTCGTCCCATTCGGCGACAGTAAGACGTACAGGAAGACATACCTTGTTTTCGTCAAGAAGTCCGGTGATAGCGATTCCCCAGCATACCTTTGAATGAATAAATGAAAATAATCGTAGATCTGTGCCTAGTGTGTTACACTCAGATCGAAGTCCTTCCTTCCTGTTAGAACCAAAATCGTTTGTATGGATGTCAGACAATGCGAAGCTTACAACTGATGATACATTCTGTTGGAGCATACAAAACTTGAACGGACTTAGGAAATTACAGATTTTTTCAAAACTTAATGTGTGCGAATTTTCTAGAAGGCAAAACGTTCTGCGATAGGTGTGCTGTAACTTATCTTACGAGGGAACCTCACCAACTGATACACTCCGTTTGTGCTCATATTAGGCCCCCAAGCAGGTCTTAGTGAGACTAGAAAAAACCTAAAAGGGTTCATCCCCTTAGGCCCTTGAAGCCGAGTTACAGCCATTTTACTGAATTTTTGACTATTTTCTCGATATTGAGCAAAAATCGAAACAGTGGAGTTTTGAGCTGAAATTTTGTCCATAAACAAGTCTAGTCATCTCTAGAATATCCTGAAAATTTCACCTGAAAAAACTGTTCCTGTGTCGAGATATTGAATTTTTAAAAAATCATCGTTTATCGCAGACAAGGAGCAAAAAATCAATTTACTTGAATATCCACTATCTCAACACAGGAACAGTTTTTTCAGGTGAAATTTTCAGGATATTCTAGAGATGACTAGACTTGTTTATGGACAAAATTTCAGCTCAAAACTCCACTGTTTCGATTTTTGCTCAATATCGAGAAAATAGTCAAAAATTCAGTAAAATGGCTGTAACTCGGCTTCAAGGGCCTAAGGGGATGAACCCTTTTAGGTTTTTTCTAGTCTCACTAAGACCTGCTTGGGGGCCTAATATGAGCACAAACGGAGTGTATCAGTTGGTGAGGTTCCCTCGTTAGTGTGTTTACACTCTTAAAGTACCTACTGGAATACGGAATTTCTGGCTTCACGAAGTATTTATATCTGAGGCGATAATTAACCATCGAATGCATCATCTCGCTGCTCGATCTGACTCATACAACTTAGATCATATGTTAAAAGAATGTGTCCGGTGAACGGCAGTTCGTGAAGGAAACAGTATCACAGCTGATTTTGGCCTTAAGACTCTTTCCCGGCTTTTCTGAAAATATATGAAAATGTGTTATTTTGGGTGGCCCGTGTCCTATAATCTCCAGCGAAGTACTCTGAGATTTCAAGAAACAAACTTTAGCACGACAGTAATCCCCAGATATTTTCCAAAACACATGTATTCATTGCAGGTAAAACCGTGTCAAAAATACAACCTCGGGATAAGGTATGAGAAAAACCATTCGAACAAAAAGATGCAGTTTCAGACCATCTTGAGGGTGGGGTGGGTGTAGGGTAAAAGGCTGCTTCATTACAACCAACCTATACCCACACCCTTCTTTTTAGAACACCCGATATATCGAGACTAGACAATAAAAACTGGTGAGGATATTTTCATGAAAAACTGAGATACGCTATGGGAAACGCCGCATATTGAAAGCAAAACGTATACTTACATCAAGAGGGACACAGCCCCAGTTGCAGTAAACACGTCGTTCTGCTGGATCACTGCCAAGTATGCTTAGTGGTTGCTTGAGTATTTCCCGATTAAAGAGACTGTAATAGTAAACGGTGTCCTGTTCATCAAAAGTGTTTTCATTCGAATAATCAATGCCTGTTATCGGCATGATGTGACCACCAAAGAACTGATCAAGTTTCGTGCGAAATATAATGGGAAAACCTTGAAGCAAACATCGTTTAATCCACAAGCCATAGGCAGGAAATTGAGGTTGACATGCGTTCTGATAATCCCATGCAATGTAGGAAAACTTGAGTGTCGTGAGTGTGGTTAGTGGATCACCTCCGCCTCCTCCTCCCAATGGTCGCCGTTGTTGGTCGTCTTCAGGAGTTAGATGGTGAATTAAGTATTCACCCTTGTTTACATCTCGAACGATTTGTTGTGAGATCCAAGCGCCATTGTAAAGACCTGTTCGATCGGAAACATATGAATGGAATAAAAAGACTTACAAAACTTACCGAACGCTTGCACGACAGTCTCGCCGCAGTATCCGTCTAGAAGAACATAAACGAAAGGGAATGGTAAGGCGATAAGAAACCGAGAACTTACGCCCATGACCCCACTGTCTGCGAGGTGGTATATCCAATCGAATAGATGATATCGTTTGTTCTGAGTCACTTCTCGACATCTCGACTTACGTTTGAAGAAAAAACCGAAGAATGATACGAGCAGAATAAATCTTACAACTCTTATCAGCAGAAAGAAGGAGAACAAGAAGAAGGGAAATATGCTTTATAAGAAAGGTATGAGTCATCATTTGATTGCGAAATACGAAAGATTGACTAATGCGGGTGAGGGTAAGAGCGTCGGGAGAAGGTAAAAAGGAAGAAAATTAACAATGAGTAAGTAAGTAAATGGTTAAATAGACGACGAGTAAATAAGTAATTAATGAAAAACAAATATTTTATTATTGAGAAAAAAAGAATTTTTTGAATAGTTTTATTTCTATGTTTTTATATATTTTAACATTTTTATATTCATCTGTTCTTAAATGTTTTAACAAAGAGCAATAAATAAGAAGAGTGTGGGTGTGGATGTGAGTTCCGCTAATAGATGAATAACACTCACACCCATCAAGAGAAGATGATTATTTGCTTGGTGTGTTTTTATGTTGGTGAGATGAAAGAGAAAAATCACTAGACTGACTTTTTCGACGAATTTTTGATCATGGAAAAACCCCAGTTTCTATACAGGCAAGAGAGAGAGACAGAACAGAGAAATAATTTCTTTTACAATAATACCATCATTATTTCATTTATTTTTCAGAACAAAATATTCATACAAGTGCACAACGAACAAATTCATTTGACGGTAATTTAACTTTTTCTTTTGCAAAAGTAATTCTATGTCCATTAGTATTTTCATTAGATTAGTTCATTTTACTGATCTTCTCAGAGCTGTTTATTGAAAAATATAAACAAAATAGAGAAAATTATTTCCTACATCTTTTTTAATATTGTTGTTTCACGATTGTATTTTTCTTTTGAGTGAATTAGTTTTAACAGTTCTTTACTATCTCAAAGATTTTTTTTTACTTGAAATTTGAACTCGACATCCATTAGGATCATTTTTCATTTTATTCCTATTATCATATCATCAAAATTTCGTGTGACTGAAACTTGACTTATAATTAGTTCATTAAACTCATTATTTATTGGCCTGTGTCAGCACTGGAACGGGATAGATTGTAAAAAAATCAATCGGCCCGTAGAGATGGAAATTTTTTAAAAGCTTTCTTTGTCGATTTTGTTTCTGGCCATCAAAAACTAAGATAGCACATACTCGCACAAAAGTCTTTCTCCTCTTCGTTTCTTTGCTACCATACATCATATAAAATGTATTGCCGAGTAGAGCTATGACTTGAGAGTTTTATTTCAGTATGGTATGTAGATCACAATACAATAAACCTCTCAGATCATATCTTTACTCGGCAATAAATTTTATACAAAGTATGATAGCACAGAAATAGAGAGGGAAAAATGACTTTTGCCCACGAAGTGTATCTCATATCTGGGTCCATTTTCCTGTAAAAATTGTTTTTCAAAAGAATTCGAGATTTTTCGCTGTTTTTTTTGTCTGTTTCATCGGAATTTTTTCGGTAGAACATGTGATTTCAATCGATCAGCTTACCGACCATCTTGAGGGTGTGGGTGTGGGTGTGGATATGTGTTAGAAATCGCACTCACACCCCCAAGATGTCACAACCAGAACCCTCAAAATAAGCGATCATGACGAATTTCAAGCTTACTTAAGGAATTTATTAGATGGCATAGTTCAATTCGAAACCGATTATAATTGCTAATTCTTGATAATCTGCGGAGCATTACGTTTTTCTTCGCATAATAGGAGAAATATACTTTCCTGTAAGGCGATTGTCGAAGAACTACCGATCGCAGCTTATATGCGATTTCTTTGTCGTTTTTAGGTAAAGTACAATGCTCTGTCAACTGATCAAGAGGTCAGAGTGAGTCTTATGTTATCTTCTTTTAGATCTATGTTCCACCATTAGAACGTAGAGAAACAAATAGAATAAAGCATGAATGCGAATGGTTCCAACTGGTTCTATAAGGCATCAATGATTTTGATTCATTCTAATGACTCCACGTGATTATGCTCTATGGGGTTGAAGGTATAGATCTGAGTAAGAATGAAGAACAGATAGCTACTCACACTCTCACGCACACATACACCCTTTCACACACTCACACCCACACCCTAGTTTTTTAGAAATAAGATAAATCCATCTGAACGTGTTTGAATTTTTGAACGCGTCTAAACACTCAAAAATGTTGCATTTTGGATGTACTCGAACGAGTTAAGTTACATTATTTATAAACGCTCCGAAACGCGTTACAAACCTTAGAATGGTTACATGGGAAAGAAAAACATTTTAAATATCATAGATATCGCAGAACTACGATCGAAATGAGGTGGATGTGGGTAAGCAGAGAAGAGACCTAAACCCGCACCCCGCCCTCATTAAATCAATAGATTACATTGGGAATGATTAATATTAAAAGAAAAGGAAAAAATGAAAGCTAAGCGAGAATGTTATTTAAAATTGATTGATTTAGGAACAAGCGAGACATTTGCATTGAAATGGCTGAATCTCAACCTCCGATCAACATATCAAAATACGAATTGAATTGGGATGAGTGGAAGTTATCCGATCAGCATGTGATCACAAAAATGAAAGGTTTAATCGAAGCATTGAAAAGTCAAGAAGTCGATGCTGTTACCATTATGCCAAAGTTAGAAATTGGTTGGGATGCTGCGATTCATATCTTCGGTGAAAGTGGTCGTGATCTATGTAAACCCGAAGTAGTCTCGATCTGGCTCTCTTTATTGCTAACTTTGGCATCGTCAAAAGGAGTCACAGGCGCATCCATTGCTTCTTCATTTGCCAAAAGTTGTGGTGGTTGTATGGTTTATACAATTTTAACGGCGGTTGGTTGCTTTCATTCAGAACAAAATGTGAAGTTAGCATTTGATTTCTTTTGTCATATCTTAACTGATGTCGATGGCAAAATATTAGAATTGGACGAAGTACGCCAACTTTCGTCATTCTTAGTTAAAAACATTCCAGATCAAACTAAAAGTGTAACGGGGCGTTCTATATGTTTGACATTACATTGTTACTACTATATGAGTGGCACACAGAAGACAACTGTCGAAGCAATGTCTAATCTTATTGAAGGACTTGGTGTATTATGTACCTCAAAGTCATTTGTAGCCGAGATGAGATCAAATCCGTCTTCTACTATCGAAATACTCAAGCGAAGTGTCTTGGACAAATCATTCTCGGAAAGGTTTGTCCGGAACAAATGGCCTTAACTACAATAAAATCATTAATGAAATAACGTATGGTAACAAAACTGTTTTTCACTTTTTCTTCTATATTTATGTGCGAACTTGATACATAAAAGTATCCATAAATTTCTCTTTGAATTTTACTAGACAAAACATCTTGAGAGTGTGGGTGTGGGTGTGGGTGAAAGTATTGATCATATACTGTCTCGCACCCATACCCACAGACTTTTAATATTGAAGAATAAGAAAAAATAGCAGTCATTCACTCATCGCTAGTCACTTTTTCGTTCTGTATTTACTGTACGTTGTAGATATGAGAGAAAAAAAACGTTACGTTGGCTTTCGCGAACATTTAGTAGATTTTTAATGGAAATGGTTGTTTCTTCTGACCGTATCGCTATTAGTGAGATTGAAAACGATGCTCTAAGATCTATTACTATTCAACACAACAGAGAAATCTCTTTAACTATCCATTAGTTGCTCAATGAAGCGGATGTGCACTACACTGTTCGACAGCTTTACTCATCTTTGAATTTTGCAAGAATTCATAAAGTAAATAAATTCTTTAAACTTTTTTCAACAAATATATTTATAAACTTCTTCGAGTGACAGTAACTCGCTACGAGCCATTCCTATATTTTTTTATACTAACATTATAAAGGTAAATGCACAACGAAGGAATGCGTGTGCAAAAAACACAATGTGTTCTGCTCTACAAAATATCATAAAAATGGTTTATGCTGCGAAAATTAACGACATTAATAAGATTCCGCTATTTTGCTACTTTTTAGTGTTTCTTTGTTCACTATATTCAAATATCACTTCTTGGATGATAGTATAGCTTTCAAACATCACTATAATATCGAGTACAGAGTAGTGTGTATTCAAGCCAACCCGAGATTGTACGCTGAGTCACTTTGTCGTTCTGTTATTATAGATCTTGCATATATACAGGATCTGCAATAATAGAACCACAAAAGTGACTCAGTGAGTGAGTATGACATAATGGGAGAAACTTCATATTAAAAAAAAGGTAAGCGTATGATGAAAGTGACGAAATGAAAAAAAAAGATTTTATTCATTCTATGAGAGATAGATGAATAGTTGTCTTGTGCGTTATTATATATGACGTATTAAGTAATTTTACCTTTTGTTTTCATGATTCATTCGGCAACAACGTGATGACGTGATAGAAAGATGATAATAATATAAAAAACCATGCATTCGTCTATTCCTTATCAAAACCGTGTGTACAACATTTTATATTAACAAATAAATGGCAAGTGTTAATAAATATGAATATGAAAATGAGCAATCTATTGATAAAAACTTACAATGTATAATATGCAATGAACCATTCATTGATCCTGCTGTAACTCCATGTCATCATTCATTTTGTCGTCAATGCTTAGATAAATGGCTTCAGAATTACAGTTCAACGTGTCCTACGTGCCGCTAAAAGATACCAAGAAATAGTCCAACACCAATCATGCTTCTTAGTTTTCTTTGCATGCTCAATCAAATTCTTGTCAAATGTAAACTATGTGGTCAATCCAACATACAACGAGGTAATTTTCAAGATTATATTGATAGAAATTGTCCAAAAACGATTTGCAGCTGTTCTAGTACTAATTTATATAATTTATGGAATGAATTACCTGGACAAATGGGAACTTATTCAAGTACATGCACATCGCAACTATCTGGCTATGAATTAATAGAAAGTAATACAACGACCCCGCCGTTAGGAATGACTGAACATGACTCAATCTTTCACGTGTAACAGATAAATGGCAATCTAATTATTATGCATGTGAAAAGTGAACGGAATCATCTTTCAAGCCAAGAAATTGCAGTTGCATCTAGAGAAGTAATTATTAATAAAGAATGTACACATCTCAATCTATTCGATCATCAAATTTTGCCAGAAAATGTCTCACCGATAGCTTCGGCATTATCTGCGGATACTTTATTAACAAGCTTAGAACTTGGAAAATGTTCTCTCAATGATGCAGGTGTTCGAATTCTTGTTGAAAGTCTTTCCATGCAGAATTCTCTTAAATGTCTTGATCTTTACGACAATTCTATCACAGATATTGGTGCTGAATATTTAGTTGAAATGTTAAGAACGAATAAATCTTTAACTCAATTGAAAGTGGCGTACAATAAAATTAGCAATGAAGGAATGGAAATATTGGCTCATGTACTCATTCACAATAACTCAACGCTCAAACGCTTGAGTCTTGCAGGAAATAAATTGATAGATGATTCATCTAGTGATTCAATTTGCAATATAATTAGACTTAATCAAGCATTAAAAATGCTCAATATCGAAGATTGCAATCTTATTTCATATGGCCCACCAGTAATTTTACTCTGCAAATTAACTAATTTTCGCCTGAACTTGGAAATATTATTATGATCAATAGTTTGATTTTTAAATATGTATATTTGATGTTTTTTATTGTAAAATAAAATAAAGTATACTTTTGTTTACTAACATATTAAAACTTAACCTCACATAGAAAGATTATTAATCGAAGAAAACTGGAACGTTCTTTTGATAGAACAATAATTAATGAACCTAGCAATATACCGTGCTGGCCGAAAGTCCTTCACCCACACCCACCTCTAACAAATTCATGGTTACCGGTAGATGATGATGAAGAACGTTTTCATATTCCCTTATAAAACTTTTCAGTGCAGTCTCTCCCTTTGGGTGCTTTATCTTTTTACCAACTTAATTTACGTAGAATATGATATCTTTCCCGCTGTTACCTTTTGATATTGTTAAAATGCTTACTTTTGATGGTTTTTTTTCTTTTCACCTTGTGCTGTATACAAAAACGAACACCTGTTTCTTTTGCTATCATAACTATCTTTCAAGAGCACATACAGTTCGACCTTATCGTTGTTTGTTGGAAATTTTTTCTCGTTAATGTTTAGCCAAGTTTAATAAAATAAAAAATACTCTTGACAAGAAAGATGAATAGTATACTCACGCCCACACTCTCAAAATGGTATTAATCGGGTGAAATCATTACCTTTTGAAAAGATGTAATGAGCAACTTTTTTCGTTCTTCTAAATGTGGCAGATTTTGGTTGGTTCGTATATGAATCGTGTCGATAAAAGGCAAAAGAAAAACGTAAAGTATCAGGACAAACCAGATATCATACCCTTCAGATTAACGAAAATAATTGCTTATCACAACTTTACCAACAGATAGATACAAATATTTTCTAGTTTATCATAGCAATCATGTTTAAGTTTATATCATTAATTGTCATCATATTGATTGTAATTACTTTTGCCCAAGAAGATACAAGTAAAGAAAAACATTTTGATACAATAATTGGTATTGATCTTGGCACCAGTTATTCAAGTGTTGGTGTCTTTAAAAATGGTCGTGTAGAAATCATTGCTAATGATCATGGTAGTCGTATAACACCATCTTATGTTGCATTTACTGCTGAAGGTGAATATTTAATTGGTGATGTAGCTAAAAACCAATTGACGTCAAATCCCGAAAATACTGTATTTGATGTTAAACGTCTTATTGGTCGTGAATATAACGATCCAAGTGTTCAATCAGATATTAAAAATTTTCCATTTACAGTTATCAATCGTAAATCTAAACCAACAATAGCTATAAATATTGGATCAGAGCGAAAATATTTCAAACCAGAAGAAATTTCTGCTATGGTAATTGGTAAAATGCGTGAGATCGCTGAAGCCTATCTTGGCTACAACGTTACACGTGCTGTTATTAGTGTTCCATCTTATTTTAATAGTGCTCAACGTCAAGCTACTAGAGATGCTGCAGCAATCTCTGGTTTACATGTCATGCGTCTAATTAATGAACCAACAGCTGTTGCTATTGCTTATGGTCTTGATAAGAAAGAAGGAGAAAAAAATATTGTTGTTTTTGATTTGGGAGGTGGAACATTAAGTGTATCAGTTGTAATTATCGATAATGGTGTATGTTGGTGTTATAGAACATTAGTATATTTTCCTTTAGTTCACTTTGA